AAGCTATAAAAATATCTCTTATTCATAATTCAAGATATTTAATTATAAAAAAGGATTCAAATCCAACATATATTCTTAATCTCCTTTAAGTGCTCATTTTAGCTCATTATAGAGGAGCATTATGGATATATACTACAATGTCAAAAAAATTCTTAAATAAGAAATATTTAGCTCATGACCATAAACCAATTGAAGGAAGGAGAATTTTTTATCACTTATGTGTCCGATGCGAATAAATATTGCTACATTTAAGATTGCATGTCCCAAATATAAACAAGGAGTTTTATTTTTAAATAATGGTTTAGCTATCAATTGGAGTCTTTTGATAAATAATTTTACTAAACCTTTCTAAGTATGAACATGAGCATCATGATGTTTAACCTTTATTCTAATAGTCAATCAATAATCATTTAATGCTTAGAAGATAAATTCACCGAGTATTATCAAGGTAAATTATTTGAATGGCATAATTTAGAAATTATGCTTGTAATTGAATTATTTAGGTTGACAATCTTAAAAATGTCGAGTTTTGAGTAGATAATAAATATACACGTGATCATTTTATGGATGCATATATTAAAATGATAAAATAATTAAATGATTTATATGGTGGATGAATTAATTTACGTATATCACCTTGAATACATTCTAAAAATACTAAAGATTCAATCTTAATTTTACTTGGTGATGACTTAATAATCAATTTGCCTTGAGAACATGCGGAACATGAAAATTTATTAAATTGAAGAATCTTCTTGCTCTTCAATAGATGTCCATATATATATATATATTGCATCATGAAAGACCTAAGATAAAATAATTGGTCATCCCATATAATAAAAATATTTGAATTAGTAAACTTTTGGTTTACTACAACATTGATTTCAATCATTCCAATGTTTGTTATAAAGACCAAAAGAGAAAGCGGATAAATTTTTTTAATACATATTTTCTACCGGATATAATAATTATAATAAATAAATATTTAATTTTTTTTTATATTTGCTGTCTTGATATGATATTAATTTAGATGAACATCTTTCAAACTCAACAAAATAGGACTTTAAAGAGAATAATATATTATTTACAATAAAATTTATCCTTTTAGATAACAATATATTTGTCTTTCTAGAGTCTTTAAATTATGTCACTTCAAGTTATAATATATTCGTTCTTCCGGAGCTTTTAAAAATAATCTCTTCAAGTAATAATATATTCTCTCTTCTAATGCTTTAAAAATTTATCTCTTCGAGATAGTAATATGATCGCTCTTCTAGAGCTTTTTGTTAAATTAATCTTATTAGGTATAATATTAAAATAAAATAAAATAAACAAAATATATTCTTCATGAACATAAATAAATAAATATATAGTAAAATAAATTTATAACTATCTATGGAATAGAAATTATAAAAGAATATAAAAATCTTATTTATAAAAGCTAACAAGTTATTAATTTCAATTATCTTTATTTTGATATATAAAATTGACCTCTATATTTTACTATTTTTTTCGATAAGGCTTGATAAGGTTCAATGATCGAGAAGCTTTGGTGGATAGCATGTATGCGGCCAATGTTTATTCATGCCATATTTATAACAATCATTTTTAAAATATTGACTTAATTTATTTTTATTCGTTTATATATATATAGTTATCCTCTTTTGTGGTAAGATATATTATTATGGTAATCATGATTATAATGATAATTATTCCGACTACGTTCATGGCTATGACTACATCTTCGTTCATGTCCAAAATTATTATAAGTTATCACATTCACTTTACGGAATGGAGTAGATCCAAGTTGGACGAGATTTATTCTTTTTCATCAATTGCTTTTTATTTTATTTAGTAATGAGGAAGTATAAAACTAATTCAGAATATTTCTTGAACTTTTTTTTCAATATGCTACTACGGGAATATATTTGAGACATGAAAAGTAGAGAATATTTACTTAGCATCAAGTACTTATGATAAATAATTCTTGCCTAAAATGTCAAGGGCTATAAAATCAAGTTTTGTGAGGTTTGATATCTTAAAAGTTTTCAAATGAAAAGTATAATAATATTAGGAAATGAAAACAAACATAATAATAAAATTTAAACTTTTCAAACAATATATATTAGATTATTAGATTCTATATATTAGATAATTTAAGTTTTTCAAATGTATATTTTATTTATCATTAGATTTAAAGTACATGATAAATTAGATACATACTTCTTAATGATTTAAATAATTTAGATCTTTTGGTAGAACACTTATGTTAAAAAAAATTCCAATGGTTGAAATAAATAATTAAATCTTTTGGTAGATACATACCTCATGGTCTATTATCTCGATTAATTAGAGCCTCATGCTGATAACGTGTTATAAAATAAATAATAATAATAGTAGAATTGAAGAAAAAGATAATAGAAAAATGAATTCACTATAAGATAAAGTGAATACAAAAGATAATAAATCCAAATAATCTCTCAATCTTTACAAAATACTTGTACACAAACTAATAAATAATTAAGTCTATTTATAAACTTCAAGATTAGGAAGAGAATTGGAAACAACTATAAACTATTAAAAGATGCATAAATAATTAAATAAATTGCATCACCATTTCAATTTCTTACATTGAATTGTGAATTGAATAACATAAGCGAGTGAAAATATGAAATGGATATTCATTATTTTATAACAAAAGAATGATTTTCATACAAACTAAAATTCAAAAGACATTTCACCTTTTTGGCCTTAAGTTATTTGTACAAGGCAAAGTAACTTATTCAGTGTGTTGGTTAAAATTTAAACCGCATGTTTTAACATCCGATCCGATTAGACCGGATGTGTAGAATTTTAAATTCCCATATTATAAACATCCTTTATACACTGATCAAATATTGAAACATTCGGTTATAATAAAAGCATTGAATAAGGTATCCAAAATAACACAAAATTTACTGGCTAAGGTTAATCATAATCTATGAGAACAACTTGAATTATCCCAAAATGAGGATCCTAGAGTCACACGATTGGCTGTTTGTCTGTTTGATATGGCGTTCTATCAATCTCATGATGTTCGCCAATATTTAAAAACTTATATTACTCAACTTTTTTTGTGACATTTTATTACTGTACATGAAGTAAGATTACTTATTTATTCAATTATTGTTATATAAAGATTACTTGAAATGAAATACTACTTTATAAATATAAAACGGAAACCTCATTTTATCTCTAACATATACCTAATTTCATAATTTTATTTATTTTGCTCTAAACGTAATCGAAATTGGACAATATTATGTCTTCATTTATCTATTTTTATTAATAGTTGGGAAATTTCATTTAATTTACATGTTTTCCAAGAATTTTCTATTCAATGCATCAAAATAAGCCCAATCTCTCATAAATGACAATTTTAGTATCAAATCGTTGTACATTTTTCTTTTGATAGTGAAACTTGTTGATACTAAAATCTGAATTGCCGGTACAAAAAAAATAATAAAAAAAAAACCACATAAAGTTAACATAGAATTTAAAAGTGGAAGATGAAGAATAGTTGAAAATTAAAATCAAATAGGTTTGATGGTGATATAAAACTTAACAAGAAATTATGTTATGAGATAATGTACTTAGCTAGTTTACATGGACAAAGCAATAAATCAAGCAATTATTATTCTCACGAGGTTCCTTGTCTAAAATGAGTCAAAATTAAAATTGAATAGATTTGGTCGTGACATAAAATTTAAACTATTACATGAACTTGATCTACATAGACTAAATCAATCACATTACAAGAGTTGTAAATATTAAAAATTAGTACATGAATTTGATCTGCATGGAATAAATAAATCACATTACAAAAGTTGTAACAATAACACTTCCTTATGACAATGAAATAGGATTTCTAAGTACATCTGTCCCTTTGAAAATTAATTTATGGGTGTTAGGCTGGTGTAGTGGTCTTAGTTCTCAAAAAAAAAAAAAAAAAAAAAAAAAAGACTATTTCAACTGAATTAAAAGTGCAGTATCAGAAAGCACAGATGGTAGCAAAGAGCACAAAATGAAAACAACACGTTATTGCTAAAAACATGAAACTATAATATAATTAAATTGGAGGGGATCAAAGGGTTATTGGTCAATTCCATGTAGATGAAACAAAGTTCCATAAATAATAGTTTTGTTATGGGAAAAAAAGTTCTTTATTAGAAAGCTTATGATCAGCCTAATTAATTAGCTAGAAGGCGAAAGAAAAGAAGGAAATAATAAGATTTCGCAAAATAAAATGATTTATGTATTGAAAACTGGAAATCTAACAGATGACTCAAACGAAGACAGTGCTCAAATAGGTGATCAACTAAACCAAAGACAAACAAATGTATTCCTCCGAAAAAAAAAAAAGGGATATATTGATATATTGATGCTATGAAAGATATGAGGAATGGAAGATGATATTGGGAGTGGGATGGACGTGGGAAGTGAAGGCAAGCTCGTCAATGGTTCGCAGAGTAGCTAGGCAGTGAAGGTTGAGTAGTTGGAAAGGTTGGCAATGTTGGAATAGAAGGCAGTGGTGACAATGTTGGTTTCGGCAAGAGAAAATTTCAAATTGGGAAATACAAAATTAATTAAGAAAGTGGATATTAACATTAGAATTTAAATAAGTTAAAATTAGTCACAACTATAAAAGCGAAACCTTTAGATAACTATGAAGAATATCTAATAGTGGCACATTTCACAAAAAATTCTGGAAAAGGATCACAACAAATGGTTCAGGAAAAAAAAATTATTTCATAAACTGAACATCCCATGAATTGATAAGTGAGAAAAGACCACCAAAGTTGATAACAATATTAAGAAAAACTAGCAACCCTTAAGTTCATAGAAAACTTAAATAAAACTAGAATGTGGCTAAAACCTAACAAATACTAATTACAATTTATTTCGAGGGGAAAAGAACATTAACTAACTAAAACTAGACTCTGGCTAAAGCCTAACAAAGACTAGTTAAAATTTATTTCGAGAGGAAAAGAGATTATATCATCTCCAAGCACGATGGTGTGTCCACCGGAAGGCAAAACCCTATATGCATTGAAGTCCACAACTTGTAAGCTCTTGCCGGCATTAAACTCAAACTTCACTTTTTCACTGCCTCCAGCGGGAACAAAAACCCTCTTGAAACCAATGACTTGCTTTATATAAGTTGCAGCGATTCCTTCCGGTGGCTTTGCATAGACAATGACCACCTCACTCCCGTCCTTGGTACCCACATTCTGAACTTCAACTTCAAATCCAAAGTGATCATCAGACTCAAAATCATCAACTCGAATTGCAGGACAAGAAGGTTTGAAAGAGTCATTTTTGTATTCCAAATCATAACAATACTGATACTTATCCAATTTGATGTCAAGTGACCTTGATGGTGATGTCAACTTATAAGTGAATTGAGTATAACTCAACCCATATCCAAACGGATAAACAGTAGATCCATTAAAGAACTTATAAGTTCGGCCTGGGTAGCCTAAGCTATCAATTGGCCTCAATGGCATAGAGGTCATTGGAAGCAAATCGACATAATCAGCTTCATGCCATGTGAGTGGTAATCTTCCTCCTGCATGTATATGCATACAAACATTATTATCTTTATGAATAATCAAGAACTATTAATGAAATCTAAATAATAGCTTTTACTTACCTGGATTATGTTTGCCGAAAATAACATCTGCAATAGCATTACCTCCCTCTTCTCCAGGGTATCCAACCCACAAAATCGATTTGATATTCTCATTACTCTTGGCAAAAGAGATATCTATACCTCCAGCAGACATGAGTACAAGAACAACAGGGCCATTGGCAACACTAGCAACTTGATTGATAAGTTGAGTTTGATAACCAGGAAGGAGAAGGTCATCCCTATCAAGGCTCTCAGCCTCAACAGACAAATCTATGCCAGCTAAAATTATAGCAGCATCAGCTTTCTTTGCAGCTTGCATTGCTGGGAATATAAAGCTCTCGTTCTTGCATGCAACATCTTCGCATCCCATTTGGTAATCCACTTCCGCATATTTTGATAACCCATCAATAGGTGTGATGATTTGACATGGAATACCTACAAAAGATACATGTAAAAAGGTTATGTTAGAACAAACATGCCTGTGTATAATTAACGATATATTGTCTTTAAAATATGTGCAAAAATAAATTTTTGCTTAAACTACGTACCTGCATAGTTTCCAATCATAGCTGAGGTAGCATTAGCATGAGGTCCAATCACTGCCAAGGTTTTAACTTTGTTAGGGCTCAAAGGTAGACTATCATTTTCGTTCTTCAGAAGAACGGTACCCTCCCTTGCTGCTTCGGTTGCTAACTCAATGTTTTCCTTAGAGCACACATCATTCTTGCCAAGAGAGTTGTATTGGGAGATTCCATCAAAAAAGCCTAGTCTCATTAGCACCACATAGAGAAATTTTAGGGACTTGTCTATGTCTGCCTCGCTAACCTTTCCTTGTTTAACTGCAGCTTCAACGTTTTCGGTGTAGTAACGTCCACAATCCAAATCCAAACCTTTAAAAATAAATAAATAAATAAATAATGCATACATTTATATTCAAATTTGACAATGCATAATTATTTAAAATTTGATAGCACAAAAATCATTAATGATCATATCACCTGCTTTAAGTGTTTGCGCAACTGCATCCTCTTTGCCATCATGAAGCCATTTATGGTTATCAACCATCACTTGTATGGAATCACAATCAGAAACGATGTATCTGCCAAATCATCATTAAAATATATAATTAATAAAATATTCAATTTTATAAGTAATTATGAATTAAGAGCCAAATCAGTATTCAATTTTATGCATCATCAAATAATTATATAATTATGAATTAAAATTCATAACTTGCACTATTTTATTTCTTTTGAAATAATTAAATAACAAATTTCTTTTTGAAACACTTTGATACAAATGCTAAGGTTTGAACAAAAGACTTTGAAGAAAAGAGTTATCTAAACCATGTGGCTATTTGTATTTACACTATACAAAAGATTACAAAAATATAATGCTTATAGTAGAATTATACACTTAAGGAAGCTAACGTATATACCCGGCTAGCCAATAACTTTTCCAAGTAATACAACCAAACCACAATAGAAACCATTTAATAGTAAAATTATCAATATTTTCGGGTTCACTTAATATCAAGCTTAAGCTTTGTTTTGCGGTTAATAATCAATATAACATTCCAAGAAATGGCGATGAGAAAATACAGAAATACAAAAATGATACCAATAATTTATTGTAAATTATTATTTTGTTATGTTATGTACACTCTGTTATTAGTAAATTTAATATATAATAAATAACTAAATAAAAGCAAATACGGATTCAATGATATATAATTATAAATAACCAAATACGGATTCAAAGATGTACCCGTGTAGATCCCAATCTCCTCTGATAGTTTGATTCAAAAGCTTTGGATCAGCACAAGTAGGTATGCCATTAACGCGATTGTAAGAACACATGACACTACTAACATCACCATCCTTAACACACATTTCAAAGGGTCGAAGAAATGTCTCCACCATATCTTGTTCTGACACCTTCAAGGGAGGGGAACATTAAGGATAGTTGCTCAAGCATAAAAAATATAACGTTTAAAATCTAATTATGCGTTGGAAGGTTAAGGATAGTTACTCTAGCATCAAAGGTATAACGTTCAACTCCTTTCCAATTATCAACATCATAGGCAGCATAATGCTTGCAACATGAGGAGACTTTGAGAGGTCTAGAATTCGGATCTGTGTAATTCTCAGATCCCTCAACATCTTGTAAGCCTCTCACATAATTAACAGCATATCTACCAACAAGGTATGGATCTTCTCCTGGTGTCTCAAGGGCTCTTCCCCATCGAGGATCCCTCACGACATTAATATTTGGACTCCAAAATGTTAACCCAGCCCGACCTAGATTGTACATAGCTCTTGCTTCCGTTGAAACAGCCTGTACAGAATAACAAAATACATTAAAATTATCAAAAACAGTCTAGACTTTACATATATAGGAGAATAGCAGGATAGATTAAAAGTATAAGAAAATTTGACATAAAAAAGTTAACAAAACCAAATACACAGAAGGATTGGCCTTGATAGTAAACAAAAATTAAGATTTAATGTGGCAAGAGGTGTTTGACGAGATGAAAGTTGGCGGTCTGTTTCAAGCTTGAAAAATGTGCATAAGTCGAATGCAAGGTTTTTTTTCATAATGATAAGTTTAAATTAAATACTGAAATTTCCACTGTGATTGTATTTAAGAGCAAAGAAACCAAAATGTTGGCTCCTCCGAAAAAGTAGTTGCAGCCTTGGATTTTGCTAGATTTCAACTTTACCGCTATCACTGTCACCTCAAGAAACTGGTTAATATATATAGGAACTACAAAGAGAGTCTAACAACAATAATTTCTATATAAAAAATTATACTGTGAACCTAATTATAAAAGTCAAATGTTTAATTACCTGGCCAATAACCTTCCATAATGACTCATTGAATGCTGCTGCAGTGGTAATCACTGTAGGGAAACTTGTTGAACCAGGAATCAAATCATCGAAAAAGGTTCCTGGACCAACATTTGACACTCCATGAAGAGCCTCTGACCACCACTCATATTCAGCAAGCCCTAACCTAGGAACCCCATAAGCTTTATTCCCGAGCTGACGCACTTTTTCATACAGGGTCATTTGATTAACTAAATCAGTTGCTCTAACTTCATAGGGCAATGACTTATTACAAAATGCAAAGTTTGACACATCTAAACCCAAACTAGTATACCTTGAATGGTCACAAACAAAGGTAAAGTTTGAGCCAGTTGGGGTTGCATCATCATGACCTAAGAATCTGTGATTAATTCTACCAGCAGTGGAAAGAACAAAGCAAGCACAAACAAAAATAAGAGAACAGAAGATTTTAGCCATTTTTTCTTTTTTCATTACGAGTGAATGTTAGAAATACTAACAAATTATTTATAAGGAAATTTGAAGGGTTGGGATAATAACAAACTTTAGATATACGTTTGTTTATATTGTGATATGATGATATACGAAAAATCTTAATCTACAGAAATACATGTGCTGTTTTGATTCTGCGGATAATATCAAATTCTAGATAAGATTTAATCTGTGTGATATAGTGGTATTATACTGTAATAAATATTATAACAAAATCTTAATCTGGTTGTTTTGATTTGGATTAATTTTATTACATGTGCTGTTCTGATTTGGATATACGAAAGATAATTAATGATTCCTATTAAAAAAAAATAAAAAAATCTTAGTTATCTTATATTTTCTATTATTTAACAAAAAAAATATTTTTTTCAACCATAACTCAATCTCTTTTCTTCTTAATTAATTAAGCACGATGCAATCTCTCTGATCAGATGTCTTTTATTTATTTATTTTATTTTATTTTTTTTGGAAGAAGACATAAGGAATTACAATTATCTTAAATTTTCTATTATTTAACAAAAATATATATATATTATTTTCAACCATAACTCAATCTCTTTTCTTCTTAAGCTCGATTCTATCTCTCTGATCATATGTCCTTTTTTTTTTTTTTTTCCTTATGCCTTCTTACCAAAAAAAAAAAAAAAAAAAAAAAAAAAAAAAAGAAAGAAGAGGAAAGAAGTCCTTATTTTTGTATTACCATGTTAAAATATTAGAAAAACCATAATATACGACAGGCTGAAGAGGAATTACAATTATTTTTCAATATAAACTTATACTTTGATTGGTTCATCACATGCATGTATAACAAGACATTGACTTACAAAGGGGAAGATCATGAGGATTTCGGAATCCTTTAAACGAGTGGTCCAAAGAATTCTTTTTAATCCTAATTCATTAGTTTTTTTTTAAAAAAAAAAAAAAAAAAATTGCAACATTTTTTTAAACAAGCTTCAATTTTATGTTATTTCATTTGTGTCCATCATTAAATCCGTTTAGATTGCTTGTTAGAAAATTAAAATATATTTTTTATAGTTCATATGTATAACGAGACATTGACTAGCATACAAAAAGAAAAGGGGAAGATCTGTAAGATTTCGAAATCCTTAGGGAATTGTTCCAAATATTTCTTTTTATTCCAAATATTTCGGAATGCTTGAGAACTTAAGATTTTTTTTAATAATAAGATGCTTTTAGATCATTTTCTGCTCATATATATAAAAGTAAATTAATGAATTTAAACATGACATAAAAGTTACAATCATTTGTATAAAATAAAATATTTACTCTAATATATAATAATGTATAGCATTGCTTAAATTGATGTTTTAATTTTAATTTTTTTTGAAAACAAAAAGGGGTTGGATTTTATATATGTTATTCCTCTTGTGTCTGTCATTAAATCTGTTTTGTTTGGTTGTTAAAATGTTGAAATTAGTTTTTACATAAATTTTTAGTTTGATTGGTTCACATGTATAACAATACATTGAAAAAGAAAAGGAAAAGGGAAGATATAGAGGATTTCGGAATCCTTCCGTTGAGGAAGTGGTGCAAAGATTTTTTTATTCCTAGTTCATTGGTTTTTTCTTTTCTTTTCTTTTTAATTGGAACAGTTGTTTTATTTAAAAAATATATATATATTCCTAACTAACTTATGTTGACTCCAATTATCAAGCCTAAAAATATGATAATTTTAATTGGACAGGAATTAGCACCAATCCATGCTTCGAATATACGACTGATTATTAATTATTTTTTTCCATGAAGTTATTTATTATTTGATTTGACACTAGTTAAATCGACTAAATTCCTTTAGAAATTAAAACAAAAAAATTGATGGTAGATATTTAATTTTATTTGGTTTTCAAATTTTTTTTCAGAATAATTAAAATATTAGTGCAATAAAAATGGTAAATAATAATATGGTTGAAAAAAGAAAAGAAGAAAATTCGTTTTATTTAATAATAAAATAAAATAATTATTCATTTTTATTAAAAAATCTTTTAATTGTTGAGTAACTAAAGCAACGAAAGCTTAATTTTAGCATTATTATAGATCAGAAAGTTCTTCAATTTATATACAAGTGATGGAGTATGATGACACCCTTCAAGTCCGTTCTAACTTGTTAAATGTGTGCTTAGATTACTCTTCATTAAATAATAATAATAATAAATAAATAAAACTCATATATTCTTATATAATAAAAGAATGATTGGCGTCTCGTTTAATTTGCACATATCACACAATAATACCAAACCAAACTTAATTTTCTACTTCATGCTCCAATTAATGGTCAAGCATTATTTTTTATTAAAGGTTATTATTAAAATATAAATTGATAAAAGAAACAGTTATTCTTTTTAATCTTCGGTTTAAAGAATACAGTATTGTATAGTATGTTAAATTTTCTAAAGTTACTTTACATAAAAAACTAATTTGTTGGAATTCTAAAATTATAAAATTCAATCAAAAACTTTAACTAAAATAAAAATATATATTATGCAATTTCATCTCAATAAAATTATCGACTTTTAGATTTTTTTTTTTTTAAAATAAATATGACCATGGTTTTGACTTATTTAGCAGTATTTTATATTCTACCATATGAATTTGTCATTGAATATTATTCAGCGTCAATGGTTATAAGTTTATTTTTTATTTTGCTTTTTCATCCTTTCCAACTTTTTCTACAGTCATTTAATTTTTATTTTCAAAAATTTTCTCAACGATGATAGGCTAACAAGGATGATAGTGTGCAAAAACTTTCTCAAATTAATAGCATCAAGAATTTAGAATGTCTATTGAGAAATGTATATTGTACATATGTTTAATTAGTATACAAGTGTACATAGAGACAATTATGAGCTAATTGTATAGGATTATAGCTCATTAAGTCAACTCGCTATATAAAGCCTTTCCCTCTTTTGTAACTCGGAACTAAACAGATTCAAAATAAAAAACTTTTCTTTCTCAGTTTTCCCTTTTCTTAACATGTTATTAAAGCTAGGTCACGGAAATTGATTTTTTTCTAGATTCTTTGGCGAAATCACATTTCGTTTATTGATTCATCTTGTTCTTCACATATTATTCTCATTTTCATTTTAAAACACCTCTATTACATGGAGAATCCAACTACTAATTCATCCAGTAGTCGTTGTTACGATGCACGATGTGAATGATCCATTGTATCTTCACCCTTCGATACATCAAATTTGATTCTCGTTACACATTTGCTCCAAGGAGAAGAAGACTATAGTTGATGGAGCAACGCGATGATGATTTCACTTGAAGCTAAGAGCAAAGATGTGTTTGTAATTGGAAAACTTGCTAAACCTAATATTTGATTCTTTAGATTATAAATAATAGAAGAAATGTAATGCATTGGTTCATGCTTGGATTTTAAAATTGGTATCTACTCAATTGTTTAATGGATTAATGTGTTATCGGCTCCCTAAAGAAGGATGGAAGGATTTGAAGGAACGATTTGATAAACATCATGGTGCTAAAATATTTTCTTTACACAAAGCAATTAACTCTTTTGTGCAAGCTTCGATAGGGTAGTAGTTTACTATTCCAAATTAAGGCACCTTCGGGATTAGTATGACTCTTTGATCCCTACATTGACCTCTGTATGTTCGAGCTTGTCACGGGGCAATTTCTTAACCATTTGTGGAGCATACATAGCAAGCACAAGATGATGCAATTTCTTATAGGATTGGATGATCAATTTTAGTCCGCAAAGTCATAGATTTTGTTAATAAGTCCAATGCCTACTTATTCCTAAGCTTATTTTATGGTGTTCAATGAAGAATTATAGAGAAATATCACTCCACATCATGAAATCTCTGCTGCATTTTATTTTACTAAAGCCATATCTCAAGGGAAGCAGTTTCATGATAAAAGTAGTTGGTGTAGAGACATTGTCCGTGATTATTGCCATATTTAAAGGCATATTAAGGATTCACGCTACAAACTCTATGGATATCCGAATCCTAGTAAAAAATGTTTCTCTCCTAATAAAGGTAAACGAGGTGAAGGAGTTCATTTTGGTGGAGATAGGCGGAGGAGTTATACTATCAACATTGCTACTCGGTCATATGGGACAATATATTCCAAGTTTGAATCCAAATCCAGGAGTACATGGCATTGACAATGTAGATAGGCCAACATCGGCATCGGTATCACCATCAATATTTTCTTAACAACAATACCGGTAAATACTAGAAATGTTATCGAAGGATACAACTTTAAGGCAAATATCTCGGTAGATTACACCTACAACAAACATGGTTGGTGAGTTTTTTTGTAGTTTGGTTGATGTGGTTTCTATTCCCGATGAATGGGTTATGGATACGGAGGCTAATACTCATATGATTGGTCATTTTAATTGCTTGAATAATCCTAGGCTTTTATCATCTAGTTTTACTCGTTAGATTACCTAATGGCAATAGAACTTCGATTACTCATATAGAATCATGTATTTTTCCATCATTTACCCTTAAAAAGGTGTTATCCTTACCCGACTTAAATTTTAATCTCTTTTCAATCACCAAATTCACCATTGACAATGTTTGTTTTGTCTCTTTTTATCCAACCTTTTGTCTATTTTAGGACGTCAAGACTAGGCGGACAAAGGGGATTGGTAAAGTAAAAGATGGTCTTTATCATCTCTTGCCATCCTCATTTGATTCTATTGTAATTATATCTTTGCTTTGTATTCACAAATCTCAATCTTGTATTAGCAACTCTACTCGTTAATATTGTTTACGTCGCTACACGACGTTGGACGGGACTACCCAAAGATTATTAAGTCCGAGTGTTAATTATTTACAAAATTATTTATCGAATTTTGGAGTCGCCACCTAGTATTTAAGGAACTAGGAACCTAAAAGTAACACTTGGTTTAGAAATTCATAAGGTAAAGAGTTGGTTACACCTTTAAGAAGATATTTAATCACCTAAAAGTG